AATCCTACTCCTGGGCCCAGAGAAAATCATAATTCTGAAAGATTCATGCATCCCATTGTTCACTTCAGCACTGTTTACAATAGCCAAGACATGGAAGCAACCTAAATGTCCATCTACAGAGGAATGGATAAAGAAGATGTGGTACACAGATACAATGGAATACTACTCAGCCATAAAAAAGAATGAAATGCCATTTGCAGCAACATGGATGGACCTAGAGATTATCACACTAAGTGAAGTAAGTCAGACAAATATCATGTATCACTTATATGTGGAATCTAAAAAAAACGGTACAAATGAACTTATTTACCAAACAGAAACAGACTCAGACCTAGAAAACAAACTTATGGTTACCGAAAGGGAAAGGTGGAGGGGCGGGATGAATTAGAAGTTTGGGATTAACATATACACACTACTATGTATAAAACAGATAATCAACAAGGACCTACTATATAGCACACGGAACTCTACGGGAAAAGATTCTGAAAAAGAATGGATATACGTATATGTATAACTGATTCACTTTGCTGTACACCTGAATCTAACACAACATTATAGATCAACTATACTTCAATATAAAATAAAAATTTAAAAATTTCTATATTAAACATATATTACTTGCATGATTTTTAAAGCATTGTTACTATTTCTGTATTATTATTACTCTTTCTATATGAAGTGCTCTCCTAGGGCCTTCACATTACCTGTAATTACTGGGTTCAAATAATGGATAAAAGAGGAGATATGAGACAGATGTCAGCATCGTTTGATGCAGAATCTTTTAGGCCTCTAAGACCATGTTACTAAAAGCCATGGTGTGGAGAACAGGAGAGTGGACAACATATAAATAAGTGATCACCCAAGTGATGACCAGGTCACTAGAAAGCCTGGTGGGAGGAAAGAACACAGAAAAGGCAGATAAACCTAGGCTCAAACTGCAACTCCGCGGTGACAAGTTACTTTGTTGTTTCAACCCTCAGTATTCTCATCTGTGAAATGGGGATGATATGATGACCCTTTCGAAGTATATCCCATTTGAAGTGGAGAATTTCTAGTAAATTCAGTACACAGTGAGTGGCATGGAGTAGGACTACAAACAAAACCAATGTCTTTCATCACTGAGAACAGGGGAAGTCAAGGAGGGAAGGCCAAAAGAAATAATCATATTCGCCTGCTACTGTTTAAACTTTTTAAACGGCAATTTCTTAAGAAAGGGAGGAAATGCCCACCCTGTGAGTGAGAGGGAAGGAAAGGCAGGAGAGCCAGGGGTGGGCAAGCAGCACAGGGCCCAGCCCATGCACAGCCCTGGAGGCCTTAATTACACCCTCTTGGCCTTGGCCTTGGCCTTGGTCTGCACAGGTTCCACCAAGTTCTCTGGAAAATGCTTTATAGGGGCTTCCTGAGGACAGTTATCACCCAGTGTCACCCCTAAGCCCAAAGTGATTCCACAAATATTTGAGCTTCTACCACTGATGGAGCACTGTCCTCATACACAGAGGAGAGGAGGGAGATGAAACAGAGTTTGGTTTCAAAGGTCTGACGAAGTATACACGCACGCCAAGATAGAATGAGTAATTTGGGACACAAGCTTCACAAGGGAGATGTAAGAGCTACAGGAACGCGTGCCTCCTGCTGGGAAACGAGGGAAGCTTCCTGGGAAAGAGGGCAACTCTGCTGCACCCGAAAGTCAGAATGGGGTTTTAGCAGGTTCTCCACAGAGGGATCCTCATTCCAGAGAGGGCACAGCACGAACAATGAGTGACCCAAAGGCAAAGGGTGTGTCTCGGCAGGAGCAGCCCACTCGGGCCAACACGGGACACCTACTGAGGAGTAAGACTACCACCAACGACAATCACATCAGTAACCAACCAGTAATCATGGGTATTATAAGGAGCGGTGAAAGAAAACGTGGAGGATTCCAATGTCAGGGTGACCTTCTAGACTAGCGGGGATGAGCTGAGCACAGGGAAGTGATGTGATTAGAGCTGTGCTTCTGTGAGATTAATGTGGCCACGATGCAGGAGTCAAATTTGCAGGGAGAGAGACTTCTGGCCAGAGGTCGGGAGACTATTGCAACAGTCCAGACTCTGATGGTCAGGGTTAGAGCAGAGACTGCAGTCACACAAGGAAACTACAAGATGCAAACAAAAATAAATAAGGATGCAACCTGACTAGTAATTTCCAGGATAATTCAACTCTAGTCTTAACAAAAGCACAAATATCTATATGAAAAGTGGGGAAAGGTCAGCTCTAGCTACTGACTTCTTACTTTGGTGCTCAATGGATGCCACTCCACATTCCACCAAAGAACAGCATCCTGTCCTGAAAAAAGCCTTGAAAGGCACAACAGTGGTCCCAAAACACAAAAAACGAACATCTGGAACTCCCATTTGCCATGCAAGCCTCGGAATCAATTCAGAGCAGTATGTACTTCCAACCCTTGACGGAGGGCTGTGACCACACTTAATGACAAAATTATAAACTCCAGAGAATTTCTTTCCCCTGAAATAGTTTCCCATCTCCAGGGAACTATTCATGTCTAAAGTTCCCGATCGGACCTAGGCCGGGCCCGGAAGCCCCAAGTCATCTTAGATTTCTTGCCTTAGGTGACAGGAGACACAGCAGCTGAGGTGAACGTTTCCTACCACCAAGGGTAGCCACTAAAGAATGTCAGCTGGAGATTTCAACAAGCAAATCTTACTTAACAATCAGGAAAGGGGAAGTACAAAGGGGAGGGGGAAAGAATGGAAAACAAACCGCATAAAATAAATGATGGTTTTAATGCTTTGGACTAGGGGATCAATAACACTGGAAAGAGAGGTGGAAAGCACAGAAGGGTGCGAACCACGTTCTAGGTCCAGGGAAGGATGGTTCAAGGAACGCATTACGCAGACACGCAGCAGGCCAAGGGACCATCATGCATGCCCCCTGGACAAGGCAGGCACGCAACCTCCTTCCCGCCAGAAAAAGGCCCAGGTGACATGTCCAGCAGAGGCCTCGGCGTATTCATAGCAGCCACCTCTATCCTGGGGGTGGCTAGCTCATTCCTAGCACCCAGGAAGGGTGAGATAAGAAGACAGTTTTCTCCTAGAGAGTATTAGTAAGAATTAAGCCAAGTGAAAAAGAAGCGCTTCCTCTCAACTACTTGACGGCCCTTTAGAAAGCTCTGGAGAGGAGAGGTACGATGGTGGTGAAAAATGAGCAGGACCACACTTGTGAATTTTCCAAGGAAATTTACTTCTTCTACTCCAGGAAACCAAACATTAACATCTTGGGCATTTTAAAGGAAGAATTTCCTCAAAATATATTAGATTGAACCATAAGCAATCAGCATTTTTGTAGGTCAAAAACAGTCGAATGTTAACAATTTCATGTGATTGAATCGTACTACATGCCTTCCAACTTTTTCTACAGCAGAGACATGCAAATTTTTTCTTAACAGACCAGACTGTAGGTATTTTAGGCTCTGAGGGCCAAGAGGCAAAACAGATTACGTAGGTAACCATTCAAAAACATGAAAACCATTGTTAGGCCCTACAAAAACAGGCATGGGCTAGATCTGGCCCATGGGCCACCCTTTGCCAATCTCTGTCTTACAGTATGAAAAGGGTAAACTTTTTCTGATAATGTTCACTATAAAAATGGCTGACTTTAGAGTAATACAGTGATGCCCTTGGAGGATACGAAAGTCTATCAGTAAAAGCCACTGCTCCCATCCCAGCCAGCTCTAACGCTGGTGGTTGGTCTGAGCCCCCAGTCTGCTGTCAGCGCTCCCTTCCACTGCTACTTCCACCGATCTGGCTTATTTTAGAAGCAGTTGTCTGCGGGAGGGTTTGAGGATGGTTCTAACTTTTCTACGAAGAAAAAAGAAAAAGAAATGTACAAGGAAATGGGGCTTAACGGTAACTGTGAATAACCATTAACTACAGAAAGGATAGGGGAGCAAAGGCACTCTGAGGAATTACCCCAAACACACCCCTGATTTGAATTCAAAATTCCAGAGGTCCAAAGGGCAGCAACAGAAACAGGTAAATACCTAAACAGCTGGCCCAAGGCTGAAAGACTGGCCCAAGGCTGAAAGAGAGCAAAAAATAAGTTTGAGACAGACTATGCTTTATAGAAATAAGAGAGATCATTAAATGGGCAATAATCATTCTTCTCCTAAGTTATCAGGGTAGAGCCAAATAGGAAAAGGCTGCATTTGCAGCCACTCCCAAAAGACTGTTGGGAAAACTTAACTGTTGTGAGACATAGAAAGTCATCGCTGAGGGAATCAACAGCTTCCTCCTATGGAGAATGTTAAGAAATTAGAGTCGGGGGCTTCCCTGGTGGCGCAGTGGTTGAGAGTCCGCCTGCCGATGCAGGGGACACGGGTTCGTGCCCCGGTCCGGGAGGATCCCACGTGCCGCGGAGCCGCTGGGCCTGTGAGCCACGGCCGCTGAGCCTGCACGTCCGGAGCCTGTGCTCCGCAACGGGAGAGGCACAACAGTGAGAGGCCCACGTACCACAAAAAAAAAAAAAAAAAAAGAAATTAGAGTCGGGGACTCTCTCGCCAACATGTATTCAACAACGACATACCCTGAGGACCTCTTCCAGGTCCATGAATTTTTTTTATTGCAAAAGAAGTTTTTAAATCACTGGGAAATGTTTCTAATTTATGGCATTGCTATTGTTTCAAATGTTGTGTATTGTGATGAAAAAGGAAAACTTAAACAAACAAACAAAAAAACCTGTATGTGAGTGGATGCGCTGAAACAGAAAAGGCAGATGGCTGATATACCCTTCTGGTCTGTCTTATAGGGCCACTGAATTATAAAAATCCTAATTTAGATAACATTTCTCATCATTCAATATTAAAAACTTACCCTAGAGCGGATCCATTCTCCTGCATTTCTAAACACTGTCATGTATATCTTATAAACCTTCACCAGTTCAGTAGCCTGCAATATTCTACACTGAAAATTAAAGGAAAAAAAGAGAGAGACAAATCCCATACATACATGAGCTGCCTGGATAACAGTGAGCCTCTGGGTACCGTCTGCCCATAGCGACCAGTCAGCACATTATCAGGGGCCCCGGCAGTTTCCAAGTACTCAGGAAAGACTGAGATGTTTAAGCTGTGGTACAGGGAGGGGGAGACAAAAAGAAAGTAGAAATAAAAAAACAGATTTAGAATAATGATTGCATATTTTCATTCAAATGCTACTGATGACCACAAATTTCCAGATAACCAGGTTTATGAATTATTCATAGTCACATCCGAGATGAAGTCTCCCTGTCACTGTTGGCAGGCCCAGAGCACGTTGATGATCATTAGCATATGGCCCCTATGCTAAGTGTGACAGAAGTGCACGTCGCTGCAAGTCTATCCATCAGGGCTGGCCCTCACTGGCCCTCTTTATTTATTTATTTATTTGGCCACGCCACGTGGCATGTGGGATCTTAGTTCCCTGACCAGGGATCAAACTGTACTCCCTGCATTAGAAAGGCAGAGTCTTAACCACTGGACCGCCACTGGCCCTCTTTAGAGGACCAGACAACCCCACCCACGCTGACGCTTTTTCATCTCACTCTTCCTTAACGTCAAGGAATAGCACTAGCCTGGTGCTTTGTTGTGACACCTAAACTGATATTCTGTAAAAAAAAAAAACAAAAAAAAAAAACCTCTAAAAGCTTGAAAGGAAAAACTAAATTTTCTACATTGGGTACCAAAGACATCAAATTAATTTTTTTTAACTTTTCATGGAAGCAGAACATAAATATAGAAAAGGATGCGTACCACACACAGCTCAATGAATCTTCCTCCACTGAACACACCAGATCAAAACCCAGTACATTATCAGTACCCCAGAAACCCCCTTCGTGCCCCCTCCTAAAGGTACTACTATGCATAGATTACTTCTGCCCTTTTTGTAGACATCAAATTGATTTATTGTCCTTATCCAGTCTTCACTTAAAAAACATACGTTGAACGCCTCCTATATGTGAAGACATAAGGCACTGTCTCTGTCTTTAAGGAAAGCAAAGTCTAGTGGGACCAAGAAACACACACAGCTGACCCCAAAGGGCAGTGGGATGAGCACAATGACTGAGATTCATGGCAAGCAGCCCAGAAATGGAGAAGTCGGGGAAGGCTTCCAAGTACCAGGGGTGCCTGGCATGTCCTCAGGCTGGGCAGGACTTAGCCAAGCAGGGACTGGGAAACAAGACAACGGAAAATGCAGGAGTAAGAAAACTGCCTGGTGTATTGTGTTGCTGGACTCTCTAGAGAGAGGCCAGGAAAGAAGCTGGAGCCCGACTGTAACCTTGTACACATATTCGAGAACTTTAGTTGCAGACAGCCACTGATGGATCAGAGCTGGGTTTCAGATGCATGACTCTCTCTCGGGATGGATTCAGAGAGGGCAGAGTAGCGGCAGGGAGACCAGTTAGGCTGGAGAGGAAGGGTGAAGATTAGGGCAGTGGAGGTAGGTGGGGAAGGGAAAAGGAGAGAAGAATTAGTACTTTGGAAACACCCAGACACTAAAAGCAGAGCAACATGGTACCTGACTACATGTGGGTGGACGGCAGTGACAAATGGGGTAGAGAATACTAGTGAATTAACAAGTTTAATAAGGAAGACAACGGGTTTAGTTTGGTGCATTAGAAATTGAGATGTAGAAGATTCGAGTGAGGACAACCAGATATTCTTGAGAGTGAGTCTTGGGGAAGAAACCTGAGCAAAACGTAAAGGCACAGAAGTGGTCACTACATAGAAAGTAGCAGAAATTAGATTAGCGGGTGATATCACTGAAGGAACATGGGTAGAGGGAGAAGACTGGAGGATTAGGGCCAAAAGCAGAACCGTAGAGACAATGACAGAACTGGCAGAGGAAAAAGATCTTCTGAAAAGGACCAAGGAAGAAAGGCAGGGAGGTACCATGGAATACAATGAGATGAAGAAAGATAAGAAATGAAAACTACAGCTTTGCCTTTGACACTTAAGCAGTCACTGGCCACCTTGACTGAAGGTGGTTTCACTGAAGTGGTAGAGGCAGTGACAACAGAGCAAGTGAAAGAAGAGAAAGGAGAACGAACAGTTGTTGAAGGGCACTGGTGCTAATTAATGGAAGTCCGTATTGACAGCAGTAGAGACAGAAAGGTTGAGAGTTCAAGAGGGAGGAGGTAAGGATGGAATAAAATCCCAAAGGAGGTGGGGGAAAAGGGTCAGGAGTACAAACGAAGGGCCTGACCTTGAAGAGGAAGGGGGGATTCACAACCCTCTTATATTAGAAGTATATTAGAGGAGTGAAAACAAATCTGGTTATAGTAAGTTTGTAGGTAACAGCACTAGGATATTAGAGGTAACAGACTAAATGACATCAGTGTTGTAGATAAATAGCTGCCGTGGTTCTTTGCTAGGAATAAGTTGACACATAAATGGTTTGATGACACAGATCTTGAAAATCTTGGTTTCTGGCATGCTACCCTGTTATAAGTAGTCTGACCCTGTTTTAAGGTAGATAAACATATACGCCAGTACATATCAAGGTGGGAAGGGGCATTTGCGAGATAGGCACTCCCACAGTAGAACTTATTAGCAGTACCAAAAAAATAGCATAAAAGCAAAAGATTCAGAAGAACACTCTTCTTATAATGATCTTTGTTCCCCGGTGCCAACCTTTCCAAAGGTTTACATATAGTTTCATTTAAATGAAACCACTACCCACTATCGTACAAGGCCTCTTAAGATGCTTCAATTCAAAGATTCTTTCTAGCATGACTAACCTAATGAGAATGAAGAGTCAGACATCTTAAAGAAAAGGCAAAAAGAAGAGGAGGGTGGAGCTGGCAGCGGCACCTGCCCGCGATTTCCTAGCGAAACGTCCCTTAAGACAGCAGCGCAGTCATCATCCTCCATCTCCTGCCCAACTCTTTCGCCTCAGGTTTTGGTGAATCCGGGAAGTGGGTGGAGTGACCTAGCTCTTGGAAAGCACTCCAACGATGCCAAAAGTAGCAAGGCTCATTAGAAAATCTAACGCAATGGAAAACACCTTGAAAAGCAGATTTTCTGTTCTCTAGGCAGCCTTTGTGATCTCACAAACTCTGAGGCTGCTCCAGGGTTGTTTGTCTATTCTGGTCACATGAACATGTCTCCAGGCCATCTTTGGAAAATGACAGAATTTTAGAATTCTAGATAAACCCATCATTATCATCCTTGAAGTCAGCCAGGATTGAGATGGTTCCAGAGCCATCAGATGACTACTGACTGGACCATTCGTCTTTGTGTCCCTGGGGCACGGGAGACAGAGCAAGCAGTCCATAAATATGGAATCAATCGATAAACCAATACATAAGCGAAGAGTTCTCACAACGAGGAGGTAAAGAGGCCAATTAAAGGGTGAGAACAGAATTAGTCTTTCTATTCCTTCCTTTCCCACCCTAACTGACTCGGAGCCAAGCCGCAAATCGCATTCAACTGCATTTACTTTCCTCTTCACAGAAAAACGTCTCTGTGAACTCATAAATAAATATTGTGTGTTAAGAGAAATCAGAAATCATGAAATTATGAAAAACAGGATGCCTCTTAAGTGGGAAAATAAGTAGGTGCGAACATTTTGAGCATACAAAGAAACAGAAATTGCCCACTTTACATCTATCTGCCTCCTTTGTTATCCTTTGGTGTGAAGGACAGACCCATTATTACTTTAACAGCAGGGTGCCTCTCCTCCCAGCCTCGCATTCACACAGCAACCCGCTCAGCTTCAACCCACTGGGCAACAGATCCTAATGAGATAATCAAGTCTCGCTTCCTTAAAAATTCTGATCCTAAAATATATTTATATTATGCATCATCTCATTTCTTTTGTAACGCATAAGCTCTAAGGTATCACTGATCACACTGAACACATTTTACACATGACAAGAAGCGCACTGTAGCATTGTTTGGAAACAACTTTAAGGATAAAGTTCCCAAAAGTGAGGAATAGTGGGGTTGTTGTTTTGTTTATTAGTATGTACTATGTGACATTTTTCTTAACTGTTAAAAAATAACTCGGTCCTGAAACATCCAATCTGTTTCTGCCCATCTGAATAGCAATATATGGAGAAGGAAACAGATCTTTGAGACTGCCATCCTTTTTCCTATTCTTGATTAAGAATCTAGGAGACCAAGATGAACAATACACCATTCACTTGAATGCAAGCTACCAAGGGGAGGAAAGAAATATTTATGCCAGTGCACAAAGTGTTTAGTGTGCAACTTTTTAATTACTATATTTATGGTATTACCATAATATATTCACTAACACAAATGCTCTACAGGGACATTAATCCTCAACAAATACATCAATGCTTCCCTCCTCTCCTCCAAATTCTTATTATGCTGACATGGGGCAAAAATGCCAAGAACTCTCTCCGAAATAAACATTTCATGTCAACAATCACTTGTTCTACTATCTCCCTTTCTAACTGTTTTATAACATAACAACCCTACTTAAGTATTTGCTATTAACCTAAAAGACAAATTTGTAAGCAAAATACTTTTTAAAGGGCTTTGTTTAATGTAACATCTTTTTTGATACGAAAGCTGGTTCAAGCTACTAAAAAAGTTGATTATGTTCTAAATAACATATTCTGTAACTCATCAAATTATAAGTCTCTGTATCACTCTGCACTTATAGTTCTATATAATTTCTGCTTTTTAGAAACCTCAAGGGGTAAGGCATTGAGGATGATGAAGAGTTTCACAATGGCTGAAGGATGACCCACCTAAGTAATAAAATGGGTTTAATTTCAACCATACTGGATTATTTATTTTTTTTCCTAAAAGGTAATGTCTTCTCAGAGAATCCAGAATGTGATTAGGCTTTGGTGACACAGGATCATCAATATGACTATCAATTATCATGCTCTGTTAGAACATGAGAACACTATCCCTGAGGAAAAGAAGCTGGCCCAGCGGATACTAGGCAGAGGCTGAGTTTCTACCACCATGTTGAGAGTTAGATGCGGAGTTCCCACCAAAGCAACAGGACACTCTGAGAATCAAAGGGAAGAGATTGATGAAATTCAAACACCAAGGAAAAGGAGAGCCAAAGGTGAAATCTCAGTCACAGATCCAGGTCTAGAGCCAAGT